CATCAGGGAAATGTGATTCAAAGCCACAATGACCATTCTAACTGTTAAGAGTGGCTATCATTAAAAAGAACAAAGATATCAAGTGTTGGAGAGCACGTTGGTGGGAAAATAAATTCAAACAGCCATTATGGAAACCAATGAGGAGGTACTTCAGAAAACTATGATCTAAGCTGTCCTACTGCTGAGTACATGGCCCAAGGAAATGAAACCAGTATATCAAAGAAACAAACTGCATTTCCATAGTTATTGCAGCATGGTTAACAATAGCCAAGATATAGAATCATCCAAGGTGTCCATCAACAGATGGATAGACATGATGTGGCACACATACACAATAGGGTACTATTCAGCCACAAAAACAATGAAATGTTATTTCTAGCAACATGGATGGAACTGGAGGACATTATGTTAAGTGAAATAGGTACAGAAAGAACCATATAATCCCAGTTATATGTAGAAGCAAAATGAATTTTGATTTCATAGAAGTACAGAGGATATTGGTTACTGGAGGTGGGGGAGGGAAGGTGGGGAAGAAGGCAAAATTGAGGGTGAGTAATGGGCACCAAAATCCAGTGAGAGAGGAGTCGTCAGTTCTAGTGTTCTCTGGCACAGAAGGGAGAGTAGAGTGTCTAACCATTTACTATTTATCTTATAAATATCTGGAAGAGATGACTTTTTTTGTTTTTGTTTTTGTCACTTGTGGGGTCTGAACTTGGGGCCTGGGTGCTGTCCCTGAGCTCTTTTTGCTCAAGGGTAGCACTCTATAGCACTCTACCACTGGATTCCACAGTGCCATTTCTGGCTTTTTTTGGTAGCTCATTAGAGATAAGTCACATGAACTTTCTTGGCTGGGCTTAGATCCTCAGATCTCAGCTTCCTAAGTAGCTAGGATTATAGGCATGAGCCACCAACGTCTAGCATGATGACTGTTTTTTGATACTGACTTCATTCAAGCTGGAGGAGGTTTTTTTTTTCTTCTTTAACAGTGAATCCTGATAATGTATTACCTGGGGATTGAATGACTATGTAGGCAGGTTGTTTACAGAGTGCATTTTATTTCCTTTGAAGATACCAATGATGTGCATACAGATGTCACTGTCCACATCATTGGACCTAGTCTTGTGCTTTCCAACTTTGACCAACCATGTCACCAGATGGATCCTTTCAAGAAAGTAGATGGACCATTTCTGTGTTCCTTCCATACTGGCCATCCAGGTGCTCATCTACTGTAGATGTCATCTACATGGCTTTCCTTGAATATCTTGATACTCAAGGAAAAGCATGTTGTGGTTGGAAGTCAATGCAGTCCCAATTCAAAAGATGTTTGAAAAGTTGGGTACCAGTACTATTAAGATTAACGTTTGTAATGCCAGTTCTCTGATAGGAGGCTTTTGGGACGTGATATCTGGGATTCAGAAACTGTGGAGCTTGGCGGAAGGCCGGAATGTCTTGGTCTGTGTAAGTCAATTCTTCATTGGCCTTGGATTGCAGAAGGGATGAAAAGAAGGGCAAAGCAAATCAGAGGCATAGGTGAGAAGCAGCCCCTGCCAGCTGCCCCATTTGTCCTGGGATGGTCAAGGATGCCACTGGGGCTAGGAAAATCCTCAGGAAAAATAAGAGCCATGGAACCCTTGTGAACATCAGTGAGCAGCCCCTCTCCTTTTGGTCCTGTCCTGCTCCAGCATTGATGGCAAAATGCCATCACCCCCTGCCTTCCCCTTACATCACAAGTAGGGACTCAAGTTCCAGGAGATGGGCTCATCTGCTGTAGGACACACACAGTGTGTGATGACAATGTCATTTTTAGGACAGAGCCTTCCTTACTGCCAAGTGACTCTCCCCATTGCCCCTGGTGGCAGGAGATGGCTGAGATCATGACAACATAGGGTAGTCACCCAATGGCTTCACTGTGCATGGGCCCTAACCTGTGCCACAGAGCAAAGTGTCCATCTGCTACATAGTAGCAGCTTTGACAGGCCACGGCTGAGTGGAGACACTAACCAGAGCCAGGGATTTGTCACTGGCTTCAGTGTGCCTTGTCCCAGCCCTTTCTTTTCTCTTCCAGCTCTGCCCCAGACTGCACACGGAGGCAGCCAGGTATCAGAGGATGAGTCCCAGGGAACCAGCAGTGGGGTGGCATCTAGGACAAAGAGTGTTGCTCCCCAGAGATGCTGCATACCTGGGCTTGGGGACTAAGGGGACACTGTAGTCACTCCCAGGATGGATAATCGCACATTTCCACCTTGCCTCACGTTCCTCCAAGTCTCAACACAGACAGTGGTCTATCATTTGAGTCTGTAGCACTAATGATGTGGGTTTTTATTTGAAAAGAATGGGCTCCAGTCTGATCTGGGCTAACTATTGCCACCTGCACTTACTTACAGGAGACTCAATTGGGAACAGGGCCAAACCACTGAGAAACCACTCCTGTACAGGTGCCGAGCCAGTTAATTGCTTCTTGATCCTTCCACTTGGAGCATATTTGCATTTCCACTGAAACACTTGGAGCCTCTGACTTGGGAAGGTCTCCATGGCAGAATCAACCTGGATACACAGTCTTTGCCCTTGGCTCCCCAGAACCCACCTTGAATAGTGCTAGCCTATTCTTAGCTTCTGGACACTTCCAGGCATTGTTTCATCTGTCTGCTTAGATACTTTGTCCTTCTCATCTGCTGAGCAGGACTCACTCTTTATGCTCAACTACTTCTGACCCAGTCCCTCCTCTAAGAAGATTCCTGTCTTTCTCCCTGTATCTCTCCTCTCCTGGGATGTGTGTCCCAACTCACTGTGACAGCATTAGCCTGTGGACCTTTTCCTCGTGGGCTGACAGGAAGAGACTCAGCTACCACAGAGCCTGGCTCAGAGAAGTTCTTTTCATGCTGCTAGAAGATGGGAAGAAGGGAGAAAGGGAAGAAAACAAGGAGAGAAAAGTGGAAGAAAGGAGGGATGAAGATAAGGAGGAAGAGACAAAAGAGAAAGGAAGAAAGGGAAGGGGGAAGAGAGAGTGAGGTTGGAAGGGGAGAGAAAGGAGGCACAGGGAGGAAGTGTAAAAAGGGAAAGGAAATAGGCATACCTTGTTATTTTTAATGTACTATGTGATTTTTGGTTTCTTTTGTATGTTCTTCCCCCATGGTATAACTCCTGTTGTCACTGTATTTGATTCTGGTGTCCTGCATCTTGTATATACATTTTTCTAATTTGGGGAGGGGAAGGGAAATAACATAATGCTGGAACAAGGATACAGGTTGACCCGTTGTAACAATAAGATGTACAAGACACTGTTGAAAACAAACTTTACAACTTGGGGGAGAGATGAGGGGGAGGGAGGACTTGGGGAGGTGGGGAGAGAAGGGATAGTAGGGGAAAAACAAAGGAGGGGGTAACAATGCCAGGTAGGAAATGGACTCATTACCTTACTCATGTCACTTTAACCACTTTGTACAGTATCTTTACAATAAAAATTGAAAAATGAGCATTATAAAAAAAGAAATGGGCATACCTGAATTAGGATTCAACAGCCTCCATCTGAGGGACTGACATACTTTCAGCAGGCCTGGTGAGGACATGGAGTGAAGCCTAGACATATACCTAGACTTGTGGGACTCTCCTTCCTGTCTGCCCTTACCTCCCTGCCACATGGACATCTGTCCCACCAGTATCCCTTGGCTGCATTATTACTGCTGCCCAAATCAGGTCTCATTGTCCCCTGTATGGGCCTTTTAAATCTTCTCTTCCTGGCTCCTGGTAGTCAGTCCAGGATATCCCTCAACCAGTAGAGACAGCACGTTCATGGCAACAATAATAAATACAAAAAAATTCTCAAGAAAAAAAGAAGCGTGAATGGGTCTTCACTGCAATAAAGCACTTTGTCTAGGGAACACATAGGGATCAGTTGGGACCTCTGAGCCCATGTGTCCTTGAGCAAATGCTTTGAGAGTCCAACAACCATTCAAGTAGCTGCCCAGGCAGCAGCCAAACTGCAGAGCTTCTCTGGCCCTAGAAACATCTGTGTGGCTTAGAGCCAGGAGGCTTGGAGGAGCCCAAGAGAAGCTCCTTGTTCCTCTAGTTCGCCCATTGCTCCACCCAGGAGGAAGCTGCTGATGGGGTCGGATTCCAGAGTACCACCTGGGCCCCTTGCATGTGCAGTGACAATCCTGTGCACAAAGAGGCTATGGGCATCTCCTCAGGATGAAGATGATGTGGGCTGTGCCCAGGGATCTGAACCAAGAAAAGATAATGGAGTCAATGACCCCTAAAGGAGTCATGGGGTAAGGGATTTTGCTGTACCTTGGATGCTGGCATTTTTCCTCCCTTTTACTCTCTTGTGTGTGTGTGTGTGTGTGTGTGTGAAGAGAGTGTGTGTGTGAGAGAGAGAGAGAGAGAAAGAGAAAGAGAGAGAGAGAGAGAGAGAGAGAGAGGAAGGGAGAGGGAGAGATGGATGTCATAACTGTAGTGAAGTACAGTAGTTTGGTTTCTGGAATGTTCCTAAGGGCTTGATATGGAGCTTCTGGCACTGTTGAGAGGTAGTGGCAAACGTCAGGAGGAAGTTAGGTGATGGGGCATGTCTTTAAGGGGGTGTTGGGGACCCCAGGCCTTCTACTCTCTTTGCCTACTGGCCTTCAGGAGGGGTGCAGCTCCTCCACCATGCACTTACGATGTCACCACAGGCCCAGAGCAGCACAGCTAAAGACCACAGACTGAAACCTCTGAATCATGAGCTAAAATGCACCAGAACCCCAAGTGTTATTAGCTCAATGAGTCAATGAGTCCCTCCTTTCCATAAACTTCACACAACAGTTCTACGACTCAATCTTCCTTTATTTGTGGCACTAAAAGAAACAGTAGACAGCAGTGACCAAGAGAAAATGGCTGGGAGCTCTTGCCTCATGGAGTAAACTCAGCAATGGTAACCAGACGAAATTCCCAGTCTACCTAATGTCTAGGTTGAAAGAGCTGGGAAACAGTTGAGTGAATCCATCGTTTTTTTTTTTTTTCTTCTTCTTCACTGAGGTAACACTTTTATTTTATAAATTCTTCATTTCCAGTGGTTTCTCTTGGAATTTCCCCCATATAACAGAAGGTTGTAGAGGCCTAAGAAAACCTACTGCACTGGTTAAGCTTTCTCATGAATACAGAGCACCTGTACTACAGGAAGACTGTCACAGAACACAGGGGCCACCCTCAACGTGAGGAAGCTTGTGGTCAAATGGGAAGTGCGAAACACCAAAGGGCATCTCTGATCCACGCTCTGTAATGTACAGACGGCCCAGCAACCTGTTCCCCAGCACTCTTCAAGGTTCACAATGCTCCCAGCAGAGTTTCTGGGCTCAGTACACAGGGGTGGCCTGATGTACTTCATAGCCTTCTGGGGAACAGCTGTCCAAGTATCCCCCCTCCAGTGTCTGGGTCTCTGCCACCAGCACCTTGGGAGGACTCAGAACTGTTATTGTCCACATGATCAAACAGGCTGGGTGTACTGTCTGGCAATAGTTGATTTTTAAATGCTTAGCTGGTCAGAGTGTAGTCTAGGACCTTCTGTGCAGTAATAGCCTCAAACAGTTGAGGAATAAGAATCTAGTTGATTCTGTACAATTATCAAATATTAACAGGAAAAAAAGAATCTAATAGATTTATTATTCAACAAAGGTCATCTCTGCAGAAGTGTTTTACCACTCTTATCCCCAGAGCACAGAACATCCTGTAATGGACCATGTTCTGTCTGTTTCTGTTGACTTATGCTTCCCCCTAGAACTTAAAGATTATTAACAAATGATTTTAACCATCTCTACATGAGCCAAATCTCAAAAGTCCAAAATCAAGCTAAGACATGGTTCTTTACTTGGTGCCCAGCAACTAAGTATGAGTGCCGGGCTCCAGCCTTTGCATCCCCTTAATCTGCCAACAAGCATAGTTTATTGGCAATTCCAAATAATTAGAGGCAAATCACGTTTTCTTGGCACACAAACTGTATAGCATCATAGCCCCTACCCTCCCTTCCAACCATGACACAGGAACACCAAAAATCCACTGGGAGTACTTTGGCCTGGAGACGAGAGGGACACCGTATCTTGATGTTTCTGGCCATGCAGGACCTTTGAGCGATGATTCTGGATGTCCTACAGATGAGTTCCTGCAGTCATCTGACTGATGTCTGTGGGTCACACGAGCAGGGGTACCTGCAGTGAACACAGATGCGGTTAGTTATTCCGTCTTTGCACACAGTGGAGGCTGCAGGTGGTCAGGCAAAAAAGTTCCATGTAAGTGGGCAGCAAGGTGAAGTGGACAGATCAGAGACCAAACAAATAAAGCAGGTTATCATGAGCTCTTGGGGATAGGTTCACGAGTGTTTGCTGTATAGTTATTTCAACCTTTCAGTACCTTTGACATTTTTCATAACAAAATGATATGAATAATCTTTCATACAACCACCACTGCCACTTAAATGGAGCTTGATACACCAATTTTATAAGAAGAGGAAGCCAGAGCAGGTTTCGTGCCTAGCAGATCCCGTGGCTGGCTTTGAGGAAAGTTGTTCCAGGGTTTCAAGCAAGGCTGTGTGGGCGAGTGAAGAGGATGGATTTGCATTGTTTCCAGAGGATGCCTCAGGCCGTATTTCACAACCATCTCAGCACCAGCATTTGGTTGAGCTTGCTGTGCCAGGCCAAGCTTCCTGTGATGGGAGCAATTCCCTGAGATAACTGACAACTGAGAACAGGTGGGCCTTGGCCTATAGTTTGAGAAGCTTCCATGGCTGCGTGGCCCCATGGCTTTGGGACTGTGGGAATACATTGTGACAGCAGCTTGTGGCCCAGAACATGTTTACTTTATGGTGGGGAAGCAGAAAAGGGACAGAAGGGGCTAGGGTCCTACTGCTCCCTTCAAGGGCACACACCCTTTTTGACCCGGTTAACTTCTCACGACGCCTCATCTCATAAAGTTCCACTTTCCAATGACATCATGAGCTGAGGACCATGCCTGTGCGGATACTCCAATTGCTAATTATCCAGTGAACTGGGTTTTGTGAATCCAACATGGAGGTTTGCCGAGGGGGCGGCAAGGTGAGTGAGTGTCCATGGCTCCCGGGACGCCAGCAGGCTTACCATTCTTTCTGAAGAAATCATTCCACCTTGCCAGGGCAAGTTTTTTAAGCACACAGGGATAAGTGGAAGAGCAGGCCAGTGAGGGGCATTCCAGGGCAAACCAGTGAGGAAGGAGGGGCAGATCAGCTTCTGTTCACACAGGCTTTAGCTATGCTTGGCCTGGCCTGGCCTGGCCACCTGGGTGTCAGCTTTGCAGGATGCCTGTGCTGTGACATGTGAATTAGTGGCCATTTGGAGACCTGCAGGGCACATTCACCATCACTCAACAGCAATGTGATGGTGGAATTCATACTGGAAAAGCTCTCAGTAAATTAAAAAAAATGTTTCAGAGGAGAAATAATTATTCCTGACATTTGGTATGACAAGGGAAGTTACAGGACAGCAGAGAAAAGATCTAGATAGGTAAGAATCACAAAAGAAAAGCTTAAGAGCTACAGCTAACCACCAGTGAAGCTTAAGTCTACATTCAGGACCTACAAAGCCTAGGATATGCCACACACTGGTGAGTGATACCATGTAACTCTGACATTACAGATGGCTCTGCTGCCGGCAGGGACCAGCTTTGGCCTGTGGCAACCACACAGGGCTGCAAGGAGGGAAGGAGGCAGGGCCTGTGCAAGAGGAGACCATATGGGTACTTTTTATAGCATGGAAGTGTTGTGAGGAAGTTTCCCTGGCCTCCTTATAAGGCTCAAGCTTCCTAAACAATTTTCTTGTTTTTTTTTTTAATTGTGCAAAAAGAAAACCAGTGACAGATTATGACTTGCAAATGAAAGCTACCCCAGAAAGCTACAAAACGATTCATGTTGTAGTTTGCTTCCTTGCCACCAAAGAGAACAGTCTTTATGTGGAGAAAGGTAAAATGCTGATACAAGGAGAAGGTAAAGAAATGGGTTGGCGCTCAAATGAAGCTCTCTAGCTGACATTTCCCCCAGCTTCGGCTGGTAGAGCCTGGGCAAAAAAGGTTTATAGAGGGAGCCAGCCATGCAGCCACTAGCTAGCTATGGAGGATGCAAATAGGGACAGAAATGAAAGACCGGAGAGGCAGAAATTCTTACTTTCCAAACTTGCTTTGGTAAGTGGAAACTCCTTTATAAAACTACTTAAAGACAATAAAGATATATTTAAAAATAAAAGGAGAGAAGTGAAGCTGTGGTTCAAGTGGTAGAACACTAGGCTAGCCTTGAGCAAAAAAGCTCAGGGATAGCACCCAGACCCTGAGTTCAAGCCCTAGAAGCAATGGAAGTGGTAGTGCATGCGCGTGCACGCACACACACACATTAATTATTAAAAAAGTGGGTGATTCCAGCTTGAAGTGGATTCTTGGCAAAATATTTAAGTGATTATGAAATAAATGAGTTATGAGCACACTGACAACAAGTCATAGTAGGAGGATGCATGGCATGCAATAAATGAAGCCTCCCTACTCCTTCCAAAGAACATCCCCTCAGTGCCAATTCATGACATGACAGAACTCACAGAGCCCAGGTTTCGGAAGGAGAGACACACAGTCAGTAACAACTTGAGCAGTTCTCAGGGAAATTAGAGCTGTGACCTGAATTCTAAAGGGAAAAGCATGTGGTGCTGAAGGGGGCAAAGTTGGGGGGTGGAGGTGGTAAATCCAATCTGGGCACTCAAGGAGCCTCTGAGAGAGTGGGGATTAATCTTCATGGTCCTCAATGAGTGGGAACTGACTGGAAAAGTATAGGGTATTACATTTGTGAAACCCTGAGTATGGTCCCCACTTTTGGGGGTCTCACAAACAGGCAGAGATGACAGGCAACTTGGGAGAGCTGTCAGAAGGACCCTGTGCAAAAATTTCTAAAGAGAGCATTGAGCCCCTGTACCTCGAAGCCATTCCAGTTTAACACAGAAGCTAGCAGAGGCTTACATAATGAGCACCCCAAAGTCAATGTGATGCAACTGGTTCATGAGTTGGCTCTGTCCAGGCATAAATCACTGTTCCCTAGTCCTGGGAACTCAGAGTTCTCTTAGGCTTACCAGAAGGGAGGTTTGTTGTTGTCTCTCCTTCCTGGCTTGGGGCCTCCTCATGGTGTCACATGTCTAGTCATTTCTCACAGGGCTGGGTTAAGGCCAAGGTGCATGAGACACATGTGTCTGCATCCGTAACACCTGAGTGGGAAAGTGGGCACCTGTGTGCGAGAGAACAGCTTGGCCTGGCTCCAATGGGTGCTTAAGATGGCCAGCAACTGAGCAGATATCTGGGCACAGTGGTGGCACTGACCTGGGTGAGGCCAAGACAAGGAGGTCATTTTGAATATCTGTATCCCATCTATCAAATAAAAGCCATAGCTTTTGCTTCTAAAGCGATGAGGAGAAGGGGTTTGTCCTGCTGCCTATCCGACAGAAAAGAACATGCAGGAAAAAGGGGATAAGATTTTTACACCAAGTCCCCCTCCCCCTCTCTCTCATATAAGCTTGAAATCGGGGCCTAGCACTGATGCTCGGCTTTTCTTTTTTCCGCTCAAGAATGGTGCTTTCCACTTGAACCCCACTCCACTTCTAGCTTTTTGCTGGTTAACTGGAGATAAGAGTCTCTTGGATTTGTCTGCCAGGGCTGACTTCAAACTTCAGTTATCAGATTTCAGCCTCCTGAGTAATGAGGATACAGGTGTGAGCCACTGGCACCCAGTTATCATTTGCTTTGAAAGGTTCCCAAGACCAGTAACAAACCCTGTACCTTCCCTTTGTCTCTCTAGATGCTACACGGATGCTTCATTCACCTTTCCTGGTCCTCCCCTAGTGCCTGGGCCCTGGCAGGCTCTCTGCAAAGGTATACGAAATGATACACATTTCACAGATAAACATGGATGCCGAGGGCACCTCTAGGTGTGTATTCCAGGCCCACTCAAATAGTGTATTTAACACTTATTTTTGGTTTGTTTGTTTGGACATGGTGAACGCAGAACTATGAGAAATCAGGGGGAGGGGGCTGGGTGTGTATGGGACACTGTCTTCAGGAGAGTAACGTCCCATGATGCAGCTGGAGCTGGCCTCAGCAGAGCTGTTTGTGGGGCTGGAGGGAAACCAAGTAGCTGGAGACTTTCTTTTTTTGTGGGGGAGGGTCCAGTCGTGGGGCCTGAACCCTGGATCTGGGCACTGTCCCTCAGCTCTTCAGCTCAAGGTTAGCGCTCTACCACTTGAGCCACAGCGTCACTTCTGGCTTTTTTCTTTTTGCTTATGTGGTGCTGAGGAATCAAACCCAGGGCCTCAGGCATGCAAGGCAAGCGCTCTACCACTGAGCCACCTTCCCAGTCCCATTGGAGACTTTCTTGACCGGCACACACATAGATTCATTCTGTGGGCAAAGCCAAGATCACATCTCCTTGGAAAGTGGCAAATCCATTTCTTTTCCTTCTCTATTTTATCACTGATAGTGTTTGCATCCCTGGGATACCTGAGTTATATAAGGAAGGGTGATCAACTTGCCCACTTAAGTCTGATACCATAAGGTTTTTCTGCCACGGACATCCCACATCCTGCTCTCTCTCTCTTCCCCATGGATGGGCAGCAATCCTCACTGAGCAGCATATCTCCATACCTTGACTGCTGGGAAGGCTGTGGTTAGCACAGCTCTAGGAACCCCAGTGTTCAAAGGAAGCAAGAGAAAGAACAAGAGGCAAGATGCCAGTGACTTCCTTTTCCAGACCCATACAACATACCGCAAAGTACTTGCTGCAAAGACAACTCAAACCCCTGAGGTCCGTGCATAGCAGGATGGTGTCATCAAAACAACTGGCGAGAAAAGCATCAAGTCATGGCCTAGATCTCAGGGGCTGCCTAATGCCCTCAATTGTTTCTCAACACAGAGGAGCTATGACAGAGGGCAAAGCCCTCAGGAAACAAAGGCAGGGATGCCCCTTGAGGGGAAATCTCTCATGGGTTCAGGGAAGCCAACCTGGGCCAGAGGCACCTGGGCCTCTCCCCAGGAGACTGAACGAGGACAGCTCAGCAGGAGCACCGCATGATTCTTCACCTCCCAAGCCACATTCTCCAGCAGGTTTTGTGTGATTCTGCCACAAGACAGCAGGTAGAGAAGGTTTCTGGTCATTTGGCTCCAGTAGTGACAGAGTGACAGAACCTTGACCCGTGTCACACTCGGCATATCTTGCAGCCCCAACACATATTGTATAAATTGCTCAGGTATCAACCCCTTCAGAAATACTACGTACATATTTATCGATTAGAATGTTCTAGAGTAGATAAGGAAGGTTACAAATTTAGACCAATCAAAAAAATTAAAATTCCCTCTGCAGGATGTTATTTAAGTAGCTGACAGAAAGCTGAGGCTGTGTCAGACACTCTCCTACCCCAGCCAGGACTTTCCAGACTCAGCAACCTTGCCTCTGAGCATGCCTGGGACCCTTGCTACCCACCCTGGTCCTCCCAGCACACCTGGAAGTCCTCACCTGCCTAGGTCCCCTCCCATCCAGGTCCTCATTTCTTCCCATTTGCTTCCCCAAAACACATTTTCCTCTCCTTTGGCAGGCTATTCTCAATCCTATAGACTTTCCCTTTCCGGAAAGCATTCTCACAGAAAGGAAGTCCTAGGTTTCCATCTGTGCCCCACCACTTGCTCACCAAGAGGTTCAGCCTTTAGCCTCTCTGTGCCCAGCATCCTCAGGATACCAGTGGCTTGGAGAATATAGTTTTGAAAATTTCCCTACATCAACCAATGAGGTGATGCGTGTAAGCAGTGGGAATATATCGTGGCCATTGCCTTCATTCTTGGGGACTTAAAATGTGTGTCCTTTATCCTTAGGGGACCCATTCTCTAAGTCCCCGAGCGATGCTGAAATTGAAGGTGGTACTAATCCCCAACAATGTTTCTTCCTAGACCGACACATCTCTGATAAAGTTTACTTGTATAATGAATATATTATATAAGAGCAGAATTAACAACTATAATTAATAAACGAAAACAATGGCAGCACACTATAACAAAAGTGACTTTAAAACTCATGAATTGTTGATTTCTGAAATATTCCACTTAATATTTCCAGACTGTGGTGGGCTCTGGCAGGGAAACATGGCTCCTGGGGTAGCTGGGAAAGCCACAAGTGAGGGAAGGGTTAGTGGCTCTGTCACAGGGTAACAGAGCTGGGGACTGCTGGGGACCCATGGAGCTCTGTCCAGAGAGGGACAGGCTTTCATAGCCATGCTGTCCTCTATCCCTTTAGGTTCCTGAGTGGGATGGGGGACGGAGGGGAGAGCTGTCTGCCTTTTAGTGGCAGTGGCAGCCTCGTATGGGTGGCCCATCACTGCCCCATGGGTGATCTGCACTCTGCAGGAATGCCCATCTGCTCCCCTTGTGACAAGTACCTTCCCCGCAGAGCCCCCTGTGGCCAAGCAGCCTTGTTCACCGCCTACATGAAGCGAGGATAACCTTTACTACCAGACTTCTTCAGTCAAAACTTAAGCTTAGGATACGGCAATAAAAGAAAAAGACCTCACCCTCCCTATTAGTACAAGTCTTCCAAACCCAGCAGGGATGCAACAGAGAAAGAGAGGGCTGGAGCATTTACAGAATCCCAGACAGACCCTGAAGTCACATAGCTCAAGTGTCCCTTATTTTAGGATTACTATTGGCAGAGGCTATCAATTCCACTGGGACCAGGTAGGTAACAGGTATGCAGATCTGCCCTGGATTACACACAGAGAGAAACCAGGGAAGAGACTTCAATTATGACATAACTGTGTAGACAGGGAAGGAAAGGGGGGAAAGTGGGTGAGGAGGGTGATGGGAAGAAGGGAAAGAGAGGGAATGAGGGATGGAAGAAGCACAGGAGGGAAAGAGGGAGGGAAGGAGAAATGCAGGCAGATAGGAAGGATGGGGGAGGGAAGTAAGGAGAGGGAAAGGAAAGAAAGGAGTGAAGAAGGAAAAAAGGGTAGGAAAACAAAAGACAGGAGGGAAGCAGAAAGGAATGCTGAGGACTATGCATTGGTGGCAGGAGCCCTGGGCTCTTTGTCTGGGCTCTACCACAGCTTGGCCCTGGACCAGTGTCAACTGTGGTAAGCTGGGACTCCAGTCACCTGGGCAGCAGCTCCTATGCAGTGCTGTCTTGCCTGCCCTGCCTGCTGAGTGCTTGTGGACCATACCATGTGCAGGCTTATTGAGCAGCAGGGCTGCAGGATGCTGTAGCTCCATCTCTCACCCAACTGATGATGCTCACCTTTCTCAGCCTTGCAGCCCCTGTGCCAGAGCGGATGGCATCCATCAAGGCTTGTCTGGCATCCCCGGAGTTGCTGAGGGTGTCCATGCTGGACCTGGATGCTGTCCTTGCTGCCGAGGGGACCTGCGAGGCCTGCAGGGGAGGGGCAGGCAGGGCTGGTGGGGGCGGAAGATTGAGTTCTTCCTGAGGACTTTCTGAACTTGGGGCCAATTGTTCCGCCGCTCGGAAGCTCCGGAGCTCCTCAGAGGCAAGTGATGACACCTAGCAACAACAGGGTTAAAGGACTGGGTACAGTGAACAGTAATGTAATCCCGATCTCATGGAAATGTCAATCCACACAGGAATGGTGAGCCCTTTGGGGAAGAGGTCATGAGAGCGGAGCCCTCATGAATGGGATCAGTGCCTTTAATAAGGGATCCAGGGGGTCCCCTGTACCTTCCATCATGTGAGGACATGGTTTGAAGGTGCCATCTATGCACCAGGAATTGGGTTATTCCCAAACACCAAATCTGAAAGTGTCCTAACTCTGGACTTCCAGAACAGTAATAAATAAACTTCTGAGGCTTATAAGCCACTCAGTCTTTCACTGAGCCTGACAAAAATAAGTGCAGTGACAATGCCCTTAAGGGTGCTTTCTGAGATGCCAGCACATCGCTGCACTACCACTGAAACTCAAGACAGTTCCTCTGAAGATAAGCTGGAGGAATCTGTCTGCCCAATCGCTTAGATACCTGCTCTTAGGCACTTTGCCAAGTCACAAATCACAGGGACCAGGATGTGGTAGTAATGCCTTACCCAGACCTCTCTGATCTCACAGCATCCTTTTGCATGTAAGGATAGAAACAGGGACCAGATAGCAAATCTGAGCCCCCTGAATAAGGTGCATGCTGAGAACCCCAGGAGGCGTATAAAAGTCTCACATTCCAGGCTGACCCTACACTGGGGTCCATATGGGTTCCTGCAAGTGGACAACAGCCATCACACAGCAATGTCACTCTAGGAGGTGGGTAACTGGGATGGCCTGGTGGACTGATGATCTAATCTTGAAGCCAGTGGGCATCTGAAGGAATTTGGAAAGTGCCCCCATGTGAGGCTCAGAGAGGAGTTCTAACAGAAGGAGGGTGAAGAGGCTGGGAGATTTTTCTTAAGAAGAAGTGTCACCTTCTGAAGAGAGGAGTCTAGATTGGGTGCCAACATGCCTAGCGGGTAGAAACAGCTGCTATAATGATGGCGTACCATATATCCAGACCAATAGAAGCGTCCACAGTCCTGGGTGCTGGGGAGAGGGGTGGGTGGGCATTTGAGCCCATCCCGAGGTCCTCTTCCTTACCTTCCTCAGGCTACAGGCACCACTGTGCCCTCGAATGGCTGCCAGCAGTGCCGATCTCTCACTCTCTGCCTCTGTGTAAGATGGTTTCTTTGGCCCTCCCTCTGAGGTGTGTTCTGCCGTCTAGGATATGAATGGTGGGAACATATTTCAGCCCAAAGTCAGAAAAGCTAACTTGAAGGTAGCTTGAGAGAGAAAAACATTATGTATCAGTTGAGGTCTAGATGTTAATTGGTTACGTGTCTACTAATGGTATGTAAAGCCCAACTCACAGTCCTTTCAGCACAGCAGTCAGTAAATTTAATAGGAGATATTCAAGATTTTTTTTTTTTTGCCGGGCCTGGGGCTTGAACATAGGGCCTAAATGCCCCTGAGCCTCTCTGTGCTCTAGGGTAGTGCTCTACCACTTGAGCCAAAGTACCACTTCCAGCTTTTACTCTTTATGTGGTACTGAGGAATCGAACCCAGGGCTTCATGCATGCTAGGCAGGCACTCTACCACTGAGCCACATTGCCAGCCCAACAAGACATTTTTTTTTTAAAGTAGGTTTTGAGTTCCATGATATTCCCTAAATGTAGTCTGGGCTAAGTGAGCCTCACTGGGTTAGTAGCTTGCTGTGAGCTTTGAAGCCATACTCCACTGTAATTTGAAGGGCATCTCATAAAAATCAAATTGTAAGAGAGTTGGGGTGACAGCAAACAATGCCTGTTTTTTGCTGCTTAACTGGAGAGAAGGATCTTTTGGATTTTTCTGTCTGGGCTAGCTTCAAATCTAGATCCTCAGATCTCAGCCTTCTGAGTAGCTAGGATGACAGGCAGGATCCATCTGATATATACTGTTTCTTAATGACAAATTAGTGCTGTTATGTGTCCTGGCTTTCCACAGCTGGTATGTGTGCTGACGTCCAGTTGGTGTGTGACACCGGGTCAGGCCACCTTAGCTGCACTGTCTTCTCATGTGTGAAATGGGGAAAGCAAAGCCTAATTATTAGCATTGGTTTAACAATGAAGTCTTATTTTCATGTGTAAAATACCTAGAGAATGGAAGAAGTGTGTGATCACATTATTCCTACTATGAACAGACAAAGACAGTAATGATGCTTAATGATGCTACAGTCATTGATGGACCACATAGATGACGGTGAACTCACGAGACTAATGGAGCTGAGAAATTCCTGTTTTCCAGTGGTGCTACAGCCACACCAAGTTCCTACTTCAATGCATTGCTCATGTGCTTGAGGTGATAGCATGTACGGAAGACTTGGAACCAGACACAGAATAGTATGATAGTGCAATTACATATACTTCACATCACAATGTTGACAAATAAACAGCAATTACTAGCTTATACACTCATTGTACTTTTATGGCTTATCTTATGGTGAATCCTATTCAGAGTTTACTATAAAACAGTGTGCCTAGCACATTATAGTGGCAGCAGGCTTGACATCTTGGTTTGCTCCATAAATCTAGCCAGAGACCTTGTAGAGTAACTTGACATGTACCATTCATTTGGGTGAGCATACTCCATGGTGTCAGAGCAATCACATTCAACTAAATAGCCATGTATTCCTCAGAATGTACACATACACACATTGTTAAGTGACAAATATCTGTGCAGGATAGCAGTGTCTCATTTTTTTTTTTTGGTGCCAGTCCTGAGGCTTGAACTCAGGGCCTGGGCACTGTCCCTAAGCTTTATTGCTCAAGGCTAGTGCTCTATCATTTGAGCCACAGCTCCACTTCTGTTTTTTTGTGTGTGGTTTTGTGGAGATTTGAGTGTCATGGACTTTTCTGCCCCAGCTGGCTCTGAACCACAATTCTCAGATCTCAGTCTCCTGAGTACCTACTAGGATTACAAGTACCAGCCACTAGTGCCCAGCATGGTTTTTAAAACCCATTTTAATGTACTATAGCTTGAATCATAAATGTGGGCAGAGGCCCCTATGTCAAAGATTTGGTCTTTATCATGACACTATTGTGAGATGGATCTTTTAGGATGTATATTAATGGGGGAGTGTCTAGCAGGAGGTCCTAAGTTGGGCCCTTGAAGGGGATAGTGAGATCTTGGTTTCTTTCTCTTTCTCTCTGCTCCCGGCCATTATGTAGTTGGCTGTGTCACATGTTCCTACCATGCTGTGTTGTATTTTTGTAACTCCCAAAGCACGTGTCAACTGATCATGAACTGAAACCTCCAAATAGTAATCCAAAATAAAACGTTCCCCCTTTTTCAGTTGATTACCTCAGGCATTTTTCTACAGCAATAGAAATCTCACAAACATTCACTGCTCTAAGACCTTGTGTTCATAGCCCTGTACCCCAGCCACTCAACTCTACTGGTCAGGCAAATTAACTTTTATTGGCTGCCATCTTTTCTACAGGGCAGTTGGACCTGAAAAGCTGAAACCTATTATCTGTAGGCTCTTAGTGGTTCTAGTCACATATTCTGGAGGAAGGGGATAGAAATTCTAGTTGAATTGAAGGATGTGTTAAACTTTGCTGCTGCTGCTAGTCTTTCTTTCTCGCTCTGATGTTATCCTAAGGTTCTGGGACATGGGTAAACAGCTCCCTGCACTTGTCCCCAGAATGCCCCTCATTCACCTTTCGGAGCTTGTCCTTCCCGCCTGCTGAGTGGATGGCTTCCATCAGAGCACTGTGCAGGGATGTATCTTTTGGAACTGGTCTTTGTACAACAGGCTTGAATTTTTTCTTTGGCCCAAAAATGCTGGGTGGCAAAGTCCCATCTGTCTCATGAGCATCTGATAACAAACTGGGCTTTTCTTCTGTTTCTAGGATGATGCGGCTAGATAATTTTGGAGAGCATGAACGCTCGCTGTTCACTGAGACCCAGGTAGAGCCATTCGCCAGTGCCCTGCTGGAACTCGGAGCCTCTGCCAAGCGCAGAGACGAAGGGGGTGCCCTTTCTGGTGGGCGCGTGGGGTCAGATGCTGAGCTTGTCTTTTGGTTACTTGTGCTTTGCTTTTCACTGAAACCACAGCCCTGACCCACAGAAATAGGATCCTTCTGGGAAGATCTGACTGGTGGGAAATAGGAGCTTTTGTGGACAGCAGCAGGACAGTCTTGAGTGGGTAGTTTCCTGGCTGGGTAGCTGACCTCCCCTCTGGCATGGGATCCCGATACAGCCAACTCTGCCCCAGGACTGCTGTGAAGGCAGGCAGAGGGCTGCTTCGTATCAGGCTTTTTTCCTTGTGCCTCAGAGTACAGGTTGGAGGAGGCTGTGTTGTCTTTCAGAGTGGGAGGTGGTCCTACCAGCTTTGGTCCTCTGTCTTCGTGGCTCTTCTCACCATTCTCAGGCTGCTTCGCCACACTGCTGTGGACTTTCATGGGTCCTATCCGCTTGGCAATAGCAGAGGCCACATACTGGCTGGATGTTCTTCTCTGAGGCTTGAGGAATGGGACTTCTGTGGTATTAGCTGCTGGCACTTTGGTGACCGCTGAAGGTGGCTGGCTTCGCTCCTCATCCAAGGGGGATCCATATTCTTGGGGGCCAGACTGTTGCTGGGCTGCCTGGAGTCTGTGGTCTTGTGGTGGCTTTGCTGGTGAAGTGGTGGTGGTGGTGTGAGCGGGGGTCTGCTGGGCTGAGCTTTCTGTGGGCCGGTTCACGTGCTTTTCCATTGAGTTACACATCCAGAATTCTTTGACTCTCCCAATGGGTGGAGTTTCTGATTCAGCAATGGCTGATGAGCGGGAGATGGTCCTGCCGCCTTTCACATGAGGAGTCACCAGATTGCCTAGTTCATCGATCTTAATGGCACCCGTGGAGAGGGACACACCCCTGTCGTAACACTTCATCTCTGACTTCGGAGGAATAATTTTGTATGTTGTGAGGCCATACTTAAGCCCAGGGCTTCGTCCTGGAGTTTGGCCTCGCTGAGACCACGGTGGTGGTACCAAGGTTGGAGTGTCACTGTCACTGTCCTTTCTGATGGCTGGCTTTGAATTTACTCTCTGGATGTCATGCATCTTCTCGGTTTGAGCAGAGCCTTGCACCTGGCCTTTTCCCTTTGCATTTAGACCCTGTATGTAAAGTTCTGAAGTAAAAGAAGTCATCTTGGACCCTATTACAGTTGAAGTCTCATCCTGAGAGATGTTGGCTAAAGGAGAATGAATTCCCTTTGTGATGTCCTGGGATGGAGGGAAAGGGTCAGCCTCTTCTTTCTGCCTCCTTCCATGTGGCTGGCTGTTCTCAGACTGAAATGGGAGTAGGTGGGATTTCCCACTGGCAACATCCCCTTTGCCAAAAGAACCAGCATTGTTGTTGCTATTCGACAACAGCCCTGAGTCCACAGGATCATCAGAAACTTCCCCAATAAATGTCACTGGGATTGTGTCTGTGTTACCATAGGGAATTATAGCCTCTGGCATGCAGTGGTTGGACACACCATTTATGGAATTGGTTAGAGAGCTGAGGTCCGATTCATAACTCTCTTCTATTTCTGCAAAGGAGGAGAACAACAAGTCACTGACACTGCTAGTGGCATTCTCATTCAAAAGGCTTAGTGCAATCAGGGTCAAGACTTGGATTTTCCCGAAGTTAACTTTTAATTTTTTTATATGCACGTTGAAATACAATTTTGATTTAAAGTCTATATGTGTCTGGGGTCAGAATCTCAACTCCTAATACGCAATGTAAGATTTGCTTGAGGATATGATATTTCAAGGTAAGCTGTTTATTTTGCTAACATTTTTGAACTAACTAAGAGATTTCTAAATCTAAGCTTCTAGGAAAGTCTGTTCTCCAAACAGGAATACGATGGCAAACATGGGGTTTGGGCCTTCGTGTTTTTTGTTTCTACCAGAAGCATGGCAAGATATGTGGGATAAGTTTCTTAAAAAGAGAATGACTAAGTCTTGAATTCTTCTAAATTACACTGACTCTTCAAAGCAGTAAATGATGTAGTAGGTCATGTGGTCACAGGCTGTGGGACCCTGCACAGCTGGTTCAGATTCTCAGCTCTGCTAACCCTACACTCAGGACAAGAAACTGAAAAGTAAGTTTGACAAAAATTACTGATTACTTGTATAGGGTGCTTTCTTCTTTAAGACACGATCAATATATAGTTTCTATTTTATTTTCAATGTGTGTCTTGGAGAAAAAAGCATGTCCTTTGTTTTTAAAAGAACTCTTATTTGTTTACTGAAATTATTTGTATCTGCTTTGGCCTATCAGTAGAACAGCAATGCCATGAGATGCTCCACTATCAAGGATTAATTGGCTTACTCAGGATAAAAGGTTGTTCTGTTCCCCACTGCCATGTACCAGCAAGTAAAGATACCTCTTCATCTTTGTGCCATACTGTTTTGCTATAGCTCACTTGAGTATTAATCTGAGTGGAACACTGTGTGTGTGTGTGTGTGTGTGTGTGTGTGCGCACGTGTGCGCACTGGTAGTGAATCTTGAATTTAGATCCTAGCCTCTGTTCCTTAGTTGTCTATTTATTTATTTTTACTCAAGGCTGGTGTTCTATCACTTGAGCCACAGCTCTACTTCTGGCTTTTTTGGTAGTTTACCAAAGATAAGTCTCAATTGCCCAGGCTGGCTCTGAACTGTGATCCTCAGATCTCAGACTCCGAGTTGCTAAGCTTATAGGCATGAGCCATACCTTTCAGTGTGAAAATTTAGTATTAGTCACAATGTGTTCGAAGCAATCATTCAGACAGCTTCTCAGTAGTGCTTGGAGCTCCTATGAAAAGTAGTCTAATAGGATCCACCCTCCCTTACCTGAGAGAGAGCTCAGCCCTTAAAGCCATGCTCTCCTGAAGTCTCAGTCTCCTATCCAGTCTATCTCCACATAGAGCTATCCAGTCTATCTCCACAAATCTCTTCGTCATTTCATTATAGGAGAGTACACTCAGAAAAATGACCAGAAGTATCTACGATGACAGTACAGGATCAAAATACTAAGCTGCAGCCTCTTACCTTCTAGGTCTTCATCAAGTTCTGCCAGGGTTTTGTGGAACTGCCCAGTAATGAACAGATCTTCATCGTCATTTGAGGGAATGATGGCATTCTCATTTCTAGAGATGGCGGATGAGAAAGGAAGAACATTTATTTATAGTGGCACTGATTTAAAATACTAGCAGAAATATACAAGGACCAGACAGCCCATGTTCAAGCTCAAGCTTCAGAGTTGTGCCAGAGCATTGTTGTCCTTGGAACTACTGAGACAGAGATTGCATGTGAAGTGTGTATGGGAGTGTGACATATGGTTAGCTTGGATTGTATGTGTGCATGTGTGGGTAGGTTGTATGTGGCATGTGTGCTGTGTACATGACGTATGTTGAGTTTGGAGTATGTACACACGTGGGCAACATTATTTGACTTGTATGGGAGGTGCTGTCTTTGTCATGCATGTTGTGTATGATAATACATGGTGTGTTTGGGACTATCTCTAGGTATGTGATGTGCATAATACATGGTGCATTTAGGGTATGTCTATGTCAGTGATAGCATCGCTAGAACCACACACAGTTACGCTTGAGTCTGCAGCCAGAGTTCTAAGCTTCAGCCCATTAGGACTCATTGAGTTGTTCCTTAGAGTGTAGCTTTTTCCTCAGTGTTCCTCAAAGCCCCCTGGATGACACAGACTCTGGCATACAGAGACTTGGAGAGGAGCTTTGCACAAGGAGGCGGTGAATAACAAGTGCAAGAGAACTTTCCGAGTCCTGCAATTTTACACCTTCATGCCTCCACCTGTGCCTTCCTGAGCTGTGACCAACCTGACACATTCTGAAATGAAACATCTCAGGCCACAATGAAGTGCTTTCCTGGTCCTGTTGAGCGTTTCCACACTTCTACTCCAGATTATTTTTTGCACTGAGCAGGTAATGGAGAGGACAGCAGGAGTCTGGGCGACCTGATCATACCATTCATTGGGCTGTGCTCCCCAGGTTCTTTCCTTGAGTACAACATGAACAGAAATAGCTCTCATTCTTGCCATTCCTCACTTATGTCTTTCCCCAAAATGTTTTAGGAGACCCAGTAGGAAGAAGCGCCCAGAAGCATGGCCTTAATGACTACGTGTTTGGGCCAGAACAACATAGCTTTCACATGCCAGGCCCTGGATTGTGTTCATTAGCATAATTTCTTTTATAATAATCACAAGTTATTTCTAAGGTGGGTAGTGTATACAATCATCACTGCACAGATGGGACACTCTGTTACAGACCAACAGACCTGGGCAAGTTTTCACTAACATTTAAGGCCCTAGAAAGGACACACTTTGCCAGCCAAGGGGCCTGGCCATGTCTGAGGCCGAGAAGACAAAGGTGCCCTTCCCTGCCCCCCGCCCCTCCCAGGGTACCAGGCCTCCCAGAAGATGGGAGCCTAGCTGCTCAGGACAGAAGAATCTTGCTGTATTTGCGTCACAGGGACAGTGACATCTGTGAGACAACTACTGACAAAACAATTTGAAAGCGGTCTTTGCAGGGGCTCTTGCCTTTAGTTTCCTATTGTGTGGAAAACACAGAGACATGTCTATGGCAATTGTCTATCTTTAGTGAAAGCTGATTGTTAACATTGAGGACCAATTTCCCTCATTGCTAATCAGGCCCAGATAATGATGCATGAAATATGCCTTGCACAATCCTCACTTACGCTGCAAAGTTTTCATTCTGATAAATGAGCCTTTCTTTCTTAGTGACCATGTCCATTCGGAAGCCAGGGACTGGCTCCAGGATCAGCCTCAGCTAATGTCTTCTGACAGGACAGACAAAGGGGGCTGGTTGAAGATGTGTGTGCATGTGGGCCAATTAATAAGGACCACAAGAGGTGCACAAATGTCCTTCCTATTGCTTTGGCTTTGGACTTTAATGATCTGAATGCATTTTGCTAAAGTTTTTTTTTCTTTCATGAAGTTCAATGGAATAAATTTAAACATTCCGTAAAATATGTGGCAGAAAAAAATGTAGAAATTGACAAAATAGTACTTGAGATTGAAAACAGAAAACTAAAAATAATTCTTTTAAGTAGTTTCAATTCAGTATGTCAGTTTATGAGTACAATGTATCTTGATCGATGTTATCCCTTTTATTAACCTCCCACATTTCCCCCAACCCCTCAATTTTCCCAGTTCCACTCTCACATATATACATTGAGTATTATGACTGCATTCACCCACCCTTCCTCTCTTAATTCATCTATCCTCACTTCCCCAACAGCTCAAGTTCTAGCTTCCTAGTATTCATTTTGTTAGAATGCATGTTAGACTGTATACATCACTGTTTAATTAATATATTTGTGTGTATATGTATATGACCAAAATTCCTAATTTTAAAATGCTCTTCTTATAGAGAGCTTAAAACTCAATCAAAATTGCATACTACTACTTTCAAGTATTTGCTTTTAAGTGTACACATATTAGACATTGATAAGAATGATATTAAGAAGCACTAAAACGAATTTACTATTAAAAATTTCACTGATTTCATAAATGTCAAACTACAAAATAACTGCCACTCTAAGTTGATGAAGCTAAAATAGATCTAATGTTCACACTAATTCTTACTGGTTGTAACTGGAGAGCAAATGGAACCAGATACCAACAAAGGAAAATCACTTTATCTTTGTAACAATATTGGTGTGTTGGTCTCCATTTTAATTATTTATCTTAAGGAAACAATCCAACAAATGAAAAATATAAACCTATCCCTGCTTCTTGTATTGATGTGAAGAATTCTTTAAACATCCAGCAGTAAATCCAAACATGAAATAATATCTGCACATGGCAAAATTTTTATTCTGAAGAATGAACCTTGCTTTCTAAGTGGCTAAATAGATTCAGCCAGGGAGGTAGCTTCAGGATCAGCCTTAGTGAAATATTTATAAGTTTAGTAACTGTGCTGATCATTAGGTCTACATATTTCTATAGGTTCCAATGCTTTACCTAGTGTGTTATGTGAAAAAATCAATACACAGAATTATATATTAAAGTAATTATGACATAAAAAGAGCATGGGCCTGTGGATAAGGGTGAAGTAGAAACCCAGATAGCAATGAACAAACCAGCCTGACTGAAAATGGGGAATTATCCTTGTATTTTAGGATTGTGCTCGTTTAGTAGGAAACAGCTTGGGTGATAAAGCAAGTGTGTGTGTGTGTGTGTGTGCGTGTGTGTGCGTGTGTGTGTTTGTGAGCACACATGTGTAATCGCCAGTTTTCGGCTTTCTTTGCTTAAGGCTAATATCTACACCTGTAACCACCAGTGCCTTGCAATAAAGCAATTTTTAATGAGTAAAACTTTTAAATAATACTTTCATCTTCTAGCTAATAGTGATTGCTTTTATGCAAAGGAGTTTATAATTTGCTTATGCCATACATGGTACACGTGAACTTGTTTTCTTCAGGAGTCCAGGAGTCCCAGTATGGACCTACTGGTCCGTTCATTAATGACAGGAAATCTGCAGCAAGGCCAGAGCCTCAGGCCTTCAGCACCCTCCTCCTACTCTGACTTGATCTCATCTGATCTAGCTCAGAGCCTTGGGGCATCCTAGATAGTTTCTCCCCTACCTTCCAGACCACACTGTCTTGCTGAAATTTCCTGTTCCCTTCTATCTACATTCCTCTTTTTTGCTCATTCCTTCTTCCTTCTGTCCCTGATGGCTGTCACTCAACCTCAGGCTTTGATGCATCCACTCTCTTCCATGGTCCTCCATGACACTCTAATGGTAGATCTAGGTATTTAGACCCTGTCTGCCAGGAAGACAGAGTGGAACACATGTTATAAGCAAATAGCTTGGATGCACTGTGGAGTGAAGGGCAGGAAGGTCCTGAGCACCACTGCCAGGCCTTTGGTTGGTATGTCTCTTAAGGGCCTGGCTTCTCCAAATAAGGGCAGAAGGAGTCCTATCATCTCTTTGCAGCTTGCTTTTGGTCCTAATGTAACTCAGCGGTGATATATTCTAAGCCCTCAGCTTCTGCATGAATGGGTTATCTAGTCAAAACCAAAGCCAGCAGACATGTATGTACTTTTGCTTTTCAATCTAAGATTTGTAGGGGAAGAGATTCAGTGATAATTGCTTTTCTTCCCCACCCCTACCCACGGTCTTCCCCACAAAGGGTTATTGATGGATTATATCCATTCCTTCCTCTTTGTAAAAACCACTAGATTCCTCTGCTTGGTCTCTGGGCGTGGAGGACAGCTCCCTGTGGGCACAGCAGGAAAGCCCAAGGCATGTGTCACTGCCGAGTCAACAGTGGGCAGGAAGCCATGTCTCTGTTGTCACAAAGCAAAAGTGTGCAGATGTTTCTCTCCCGGGTTTCCTTCTCCAACCTCCCAACTCCGCCCAACAACCCGGTCTTCAGACATGCTTTTTTATTGACACTTTGTTGTGGCTGAAGACCAAGAAAGTAAAGCAAACAAACAAGAGGGCAGGCTTTTCCCTATCAGGCGGCACATGTTGATTAAACACTGCCAGAGCTCTTTTCTCCCAGGGAGCGGGTGACTCTGCAGAGAATAGAATCATACTCAGGCGACTGCTGCCCAGGCTACCACGCACACAGAAGAGCACTGGGGACTTCAGCCTGCTTGGGAAGTGGAGCTGCCTCCTGGGCCCAGCCTTCAGGGGCTCTGAGGGTAGAGCAAAGGGGGCTGCCTGGCCTCACACGTGTATATCCAAGTCCCTGCAAAATGAGAGCAGGGACTCCCTGCTGTCCCATGAGCACCAGGACAAAGAGGGATTTGGGGAATTTTTGTTTTTATTTACTATGGGAAAAGAAAAGGAGATTCTTACCCACATGAAATTTATAAGATCTACTCAAAGCCTATTAGGGCATGATTGGTTTGGAAGTGGTTAAGTGAGTTTCCATAAGAAATATATACAATGGCAGAATGAATGAAAAAGAAAAGCCTGAGAGGAAAAGTCTGAGAATGTTCAGGGAGTAATTTAGTTCTCTGATGACAACCCTGTGGTTTCAAAATGATAACTAGATGGATCAAGGCAAGGAGCTCAGGAGCCCCAAGCAGAAGAGGTCAGATATATCTGATTCCTCTGTTTTCCTTATAAGACTTTCTGCATTG